GACAAGGTTGATTGACTGATTAGTAGAGAACATAACACACTGTATTTCAACTCAAAAGCTCACGACATCGACCAACATTGCAGCCGTTGCCCTGAATTTGTCTCAACGTAAGACTGCTCAAATGTCATTTTGGTGAACTTTTTTCCTGTTAAATTTCGAAATTCGCCCCAGCCGCCTGATATAAATAGTACATACATGAGAAAACAACAGTCCTGAAGCCGTTTCGTTGGACCGAGATGTCCATCTAGACTGTAAATTACGCCGAGGCAACTTTTGTTCACTTCGATATGGTGGATATCATGAGACCGTTTTCACTTTCTGTCCTGTCCACCGTTAATGTTTGCTGGCCACAATGGTAAAGGATAGCCTAGCAGTAAATGAAGAGCTTCCAAACTTGTACGGTTAAAATTATCAATTACACAAGACTTACCATTACTCTTCTTCTCTTTGACTGCCGCCTTACTTCTACTTACGTACAGATGCCGTTAGGCATGTTTAGCAGCGTAATGTGAGTTGTTGAGTGCTAACGATAGAGCCCGGTGGGCCTTTTACCTCGGAAAATTTACGTTACTAGTACAGCCAAACGGACTCCGTTTTCGAAGCCACAATTCTAAGTTTGGAACTGCCATAGTTTTCAAATACATTTGTCTGGCTCTGAATCCAACCTAGGAGTCTTCTTTGTAATAGCTGTCTGACTTAAGTATGTTGCATATTCCCATAGTTTTCGCGTTGCTTGCAGCCTATATCTCGTTTTGTTCATGTAGTTTAAACACTAACTCAGTCGATCTAAGGTTGAATTTTTCTTCTTCATTTGCTTTCCTCCAGTAACCGGTTAAAATTAAATTTTAACTTAAAAGCATTACTCACAAACCCATTTCTAACAGCTTTATGTTTCCGGGCCCACCGGGTTTATTAAAACAACCTCCTTATGAAACTTCCGAAAAGTTTAGTTTTCAAACGACAGTGTTTGGCATTCGAGCCAGTTATGTTCATTTCGGTGGAGTGAAACCCAATAAGGCGACAAATTCCAGCAAAGCAGAAGTGCGAGGTGAGATGCAGCACCTAGTTTAAAATGAAGGCATACTTTGGAAGATAGGGAGTTATTAGCCGGTGGGGCAAATGCACTCGGCAGCCTATTGGTGGTCATTCAGTAAGTCGCCGTCGAAAGCACTGAGTTTTTCCTTGTTGGCTCCCAGGTTTTCCGTCTAACCAATTGGGTGGCCACCCCTTTCCAGAGGTCAAGAAATCGGAGGCAAGGCACCCGAATTGGGAAAACGCTGGTGACGCTTGTCCAGCGTTGCGCGTCCAAATTGAAACTCAACACCAGTTTAGTAAAATACCTTCGTACAGAACACTATCCGAAGCGTTTTCTACAGTGAAAAAGTGCGGTGGGTGCATCGAAACTACTTTCTGTGCTTTTGCAATTTAGCTGGACACCTTAATTTTGTGTTCTCTTCAAAGTTAGCAAAATATTCTCGCTAACTGCTTTTGGGCTTTTGGTTGGGCGTTTTTCATGGATGAAGAAGGTCTCTTCGAAAATGCCTACCCTAACAAGAAATGTCAGAAGATATTGAGATTCTGCTCTCTGGAAGCACAGTGTTTTTTCTGCAAAATCTTGTGAATGAAATAAAAGATTATACGTCAAAGTTTGCTGTTTTTGCATATGAGCTCATATTAGAAAACACCCGTATCTGCCGTCATTTTTATCGATTTGTTTTACTGGGGAACTTTTTGAAATCTTTGGCGCACACTCAACTATGCGCATGCTGTACCGTGTCTTCAGAAGTGGTTTTACACTCGTTTGTTGAAAATTTTTGGGCTGCATGCCTGTCAAACTTTTGTTCAATACATGAACAATGGCAATGCGCTTAGTGGGCGTTCATCCAGTAGTCAAAGCATCATCAATGTTTTGCGTTATGAATGTGCGTATCACAAA